ATACTGTAGCATAATTTTCAATGTGAATGTATGTCAAAAGCATTTAATCTAGATATACAGTACACATTAAATTGTATAGTAGATAGACTCAAGACATCTAACATTTACTAACTAAAAAACTGATAGATTGTGCCCTTTAAGCCAGGCTCCGAAGGAAAACAATTTTTGATATGTTGTGCAACCGATTTTTATAAAACACAAAAAGCATATTTGACAAAAAACTTTTGAAAGAAACAGAATTAACCACCCCCAGTTTTTCAATATTCAAGAAATCTCTATCTCATTAACCACTCGCAAGTTTTTCCGTCAAATATGCTTTTTTTGTCTTATAAAAATCAGTTTTACAACATATCAAAAATGTTTTCCCTACGGAGCATGACTTTGATGAGTAAACAAAACACATTTTTTCTGCCATATGGATACAATACTACAGTATCCATCTGACAAACTAAATGTTAAAGAAATAATAGTTAATTTTAAAGTTAGATCATCTATAAGAATGTTTAGTTATACAGTATTAGTAATGTTTTGAGCAATAAATGCACACATCCCTTTTGTCTTTAAAACAGCTCTGATTTATTATGTGAAACATGCACACAACATGTTGTTGCTGTTGTTTTCAGTCAGCACCTTGTGAAAAATATGTATTTAGTGTAAATGACAAAAAATGTTACCTTATCTATTGTAAAAGCGGTTGGCACATTGGTTGTGGCTTAGACTCCCAACCCTGAGGTCAGGGGTTAGAAACTCTCGCTGTCCAAGTCGCTTGTCTCTCACTCTGGTAGGATGTTGTGGCATTGAATGTACTAGTTTCATGCGCGGAGTACAAGCGCACATCTAGGTACACTCCCCAGGGACCAGAGAAGGTTGCACATGGTGCTCTGGTTTGCCATTGTATCCAGTGACCAGAGCCTTTGATCATTCAATATGGAATTAGCGCTATATAAATATCTGGCACTATTATTATTATTAACTATTTACAAGAAATTCATAAATTACAAACCTTCACATTTGAAACATTTTGGATGGAAAAAATGGTTCTCGTGTCGCAAGGCCTCTCCAACACAAAGATGATTGCATGAATGACAAGTTACATTTTCTGAAAAATAAATAAATAAATAATTATTCAATCAACACTGTATACTGTTTAAAGAAGCATTCTAGCACAGAATGATAGGTATAGTGGGAGCTAACATAACTGTAAATCCATTTAATCAATGAAAAATTCTTTAATTAAAAATCTCTACTTTTAAGAATCTGAGCCCAATGGTCTCGAGAATTCCATCTCGAATTGAAGCCTCCCTCTTTAGTTTGCAAAATTAGCCTTGAAATAATAGTAGAGTACATACAATGTACATAAATTACAAAAAAACAAAATAAATTAAAACGTGCTTGGTTTATATAGTAGTTTTAGGTGATTAAATGCCGGTAATATACTCCATGAAAGATTGGTGATACAGTTGGCCTTATTTATATATTTTTATAGTACAAATTTCAAAATATTTACAGCATTCATTTTGAGAAAGAGCCACCCCACCTCCTTTTTACTTCACAAAAGTAGCCTCAAAAAGAAGCCCATCCAAAGTTTGTTAAAAAAAAGCTCAGGGTTTCAATTCATGGGTTCCCCACGGCTATACTAACTAGAGTGGCGTATCTGGGGGTCCTGACATGCGGGGTAAAGGTAAAGTGGGGGGGGCTTGATGATTAAGTGGGGGCGCTAGCTTGCAAAATAAAGGTTACACGAGGTGATTATTAACTACTTGAGCAGGATTTTTTTGCTTCAAACATTTTTAATTTGGGAGGGAGGAGAAAGTACTGTAAGAGGATGCAAGCTTTTTTGTTGGAGGGGGGGGGGGGGAGGCTTATTCCCCAGTACACCCCTATGTATGCCACTGCTTATGTGCTTATGAACAGATGCCAATTTATTAATTAATTTTACATAAAAATATTGACATTGTAGTGGTCGTTACTTCTAACAGGAATATGCAACACACAACAGCTATAAATGAAGTCCAGTTGTCTGTGTTGCAATATGATCATCAAGTCTATGTTGGTAAAGTGTGATCTGACAACGTTTTAAATACTTTATTATTGGCTTTTCTTTTGAATGAAACGAGGCGTGACATTGCAGACGACATCAATAAATCTGTAATATTACGCTTAACTAAAACTGTCACTTGATAACAAGTTGAGGATTTTGACATTATGTCTCCATGTACCTAGTGTATATGTAGGCCTACAAAACATGTTATATAATCAATAAATCAATCAATCAATTAATCCATTTGTTAAAGAATACAGGCATAGGCCTATACTGATTTAATGTTTATACAAAAATGACCAGTGCTACACGCAACAATTCGTAACGTACAATTGTGTTTAAAAATAAACTGAGATGACGTAGGTTTAAGATACATCCGCTCGCACGTACGCACACACATAGCCTACATACACCACTTAGATTACATTGGTTCCTATTTCTTAATAGAAACTAAAAATTGAAATTCTCATGGGTGGTATTACATATAATATTTGCATCTAATTTATATTAACCCACAATGTAAATTGTAATAATGAGTTAATTATGAACTTTTCAACAGGGGAATAGTTTTCATGCCCTAGTAAAAAAACTTGATGACATGAAATAAGAACATATTAAGTAAACTTGTAATTTGATCATGCTTTCTAAAGTTCACGACAAGCTCAATTGCATCATGCACTTCCATTTTTAATTGGATGTTTATTTATTAACGTTACCAGTTTATACCACCAGTGCAGAATCCATTTAAATTGGTTATCCCCACCTGTTTTCATCATTATTAACCCTCACATGCAGGAGGAAAACAGACTGATGATGACGATGATGATATTCAATATTCTTTTAAAAGATAATTACAAAAAAAACCCTATTCTGTACTATCATTCTGTTAAAAAGAGAGCATGTACTTTATTAACATGCATTTGTTAAAAATGGCAATATGTGATTGGCTACATTACCATCAGTAATTTCTAAGCCTTACAGTATGGAGGGCCTACACCTATCATCCTTAACTCTCATGCAATGTTCACAGCATGATTGTATGCTACAGTACATGTAAGAGTGGCTTTGATATTATGCAGTAGAGCTTTAATTCAAGATCAACTTTTTGGAGTCCGATCGCTTGGCTCCTCGAATTGAAAGTTAGGCTGGTCAGACAATGTTTGTATCCGGTGTATACTGTAGTTAATTTGAGTGGCACTGCACTGCGGCTGCCACGGGTCACCAGTGGCCGACCCCAGCCCAAATTTCTGATTTCCAATTATTGAGGACAAAAAAAGATTTATTATTATTACAGTAGACATGTACAGTCAGTCATAAAATATGGAAAGAAACCACATAGAGAGTCATCACTCCATAGAGTTCATAAACCAATAATAGGGTATGCGGAGCATACCGCCCTATACCTGAATAATATCAACAATACGCATGCTGTGTATGATAGGCGATTCCATTATTTTCTTTTCATGATCGAAGCGAAAATCGAATTTCCATGACTTTGACTTTGTTCTTTAAACTTTTTTTCCCAAAATTAATTCATTTTTTTCTACAATTATTATGTACCATTCCACTAATTTTTATGATGATCCATTCATAGTTTTTGCATAATCTTCACAGCGGTGAATACATAACCTCCATAACATAGGTAATTAAAAACATCGCAATCAAATCTAATCAATATTTTTTCCCTTCTCCAACATAGATGAACAAAACAATCCTTTTCCAAAGTGACATGATACAGTAAATAACATATTTGCAGTTACATAAATGAAAGGTATTTAAAAACATTCCAATAAATTCTAATCAATATTTTTTTTCCTTTTCAGCATAGATGAACAAAACAATCCTGTTCTAAAGTGACATGATAAATAACATATTTGCAGTTACATAACAAACATAATATAAAAGGATCTGACAGTGAGAAACTAATTTAAAAGGAAGTTCATGCATCAATATTGTAACTGTGACTTAAGTAGGCATACATTAGCTTGTTGTAAAGGAAATAATATTGGATTGGATTGGATTTATTCGGTGTAAACACCATTCGTACTTAAATTGCTTATTTAAAAGGATCAAGCAAGTTATCAACTTTCAATACAACACAGATTGAAACGATTCAGTTTCAACAATTTACGCTGTTGAAGATTAACAGCCAGTTTCGTATGGACCATGTAAAATGTGACCGGCTCTGGCAAAACTGGTTGTTTGTCGCTATATCCAAAGTACCCAAAATGTTTGAGAACTGTGCAAGTCGACTTGTGTCCTTGGGCAGGCACTTTATCTACGGTTGTCCCTCTCCACCCAGGAGTACAAGTGGGTACCTGGTAGGTTCAAACACAACCATGTGCTGATTAAAGCTGCAACATTATGGGGCATGAGTGTTGTGTTCCATGTGCTTGATCCAGTGACCGGGGTAAAAATGTAAAGCGCATAGAGGTTAGTCTACAATATGCGTTATATGCCGACAATTATTATTATTAATCAGAATTTTGAACATATTCAGGTTTTTGCATTTTATAAAAGAAGACACATTGAAGAACATTTAAAAAATAAAATAAAAGAAATATTAAATATTAAATTAATAATTAATTAATTAATATTCATAAATTCATAAATTCGCTAATACTCAACCAATTTCCATCAAATAAACACTGTTTTAAAGAAGAATTCACACAGAATCTAAACACACTGAAAAACTCAATTTTGATTTTTTTTTTTTTTTTTACAAATGGCTGGTTTTTTCCGGAGTTTTTTTTTTTTTTTTTTTTTTACAAATGGCTGGTTTTTTCCGGAGCCGGTCACAAATAATATAAAACAGTACAACAGGTAATAACTTATTTGCATATAAGCAATTCAAATATTGAATTAAATTTCTTACATTTATTTAGTGAAAGATAGGATTTAAACTTCATAATAAAATTTCATTCCTAAGGATGGATGAATAAAGTTTGAAATATAGAATCAAGGATGGCTGGCAGTAGAGTAACAGCTCCGACTTCTTATTTGCTAAAGCCTTGGGCTGTACTGAGACATAAAGGGGGCCCAGGGATATTCATCATCATTTTTCTCAAAATGGAATGAGTGGGGCTTTTAAGCAGCAAAATATACATGTGTATAAAACATAATAATACATCCTTAAACGTCGCAAAAAGTTGCAACAAGTGTTCCTCCATATTTCACTGGAATCTCTAGCCGGACACGGCCCAATGGTAAAGGACCAGAAGATGCCTTAACCAGTGGTGCCCCAGCCACGAGGTAGCTGGGCACCATGGAAAAAAAATGGAGTTCTAAACTCAAACAACTTGCGTTTTATGGTATTTTGAAGAACGCCCTCTAGAACGTGGTAGTAGTTTTTGAGATCCAGTACAAGATACAGTAATGTACAATAATAGGCAGTAGACACGCGATTCCGCTGGGAGCTTATTTTTATTTTTGCTAAAGCCAAATATCACCTTGAGTTGTTTGCTGATGTATTGAACAATGATATTCAAAATTAAATACATGATTGAGATAATACAAGCAATATACAAAAAATTATTTACTAAAAACAAATGGAAAAAATAGAAAAAAAAACTACTGAAATTTTTTTTTTTTAAATACTATAGAAACATGCGGGTGAGGATGATACACTAATCATTTTTTTGACAAAATATACAAAATTAATCAACTATAAATTAAAATGATTATGAATAGCATATGTTTATGAATCATATCCTGAAATGAGATATTGCATTTTATATTGCCCAATCAATTTATTTGAAGATTAATATCGCGTAATAAGCTAACGTAGGCTGTAGCCTTGGCAATATCCCTATCCTTGATTCAAGGTAAATTCTCAATTTGACGACAAAGAGGCAAAAAAATTGATGTGATTACTATTTTAAATTGCATCAAGGGAAATGCTTTTTAAAACACTTACACTTATTACAACATATTATGTGATCTCTTTTGATTTAAGAACACCCATCCTGACTGACAAATTATGAAGTTCCTGTGAACCGTAGCTTCCCTTAGCAATCAGTTCCGGATGTTTCAATATTTACTCTCTCATAAATACAAAT